GCAATTTGAATTTGAATCCCAAGTGAAGTCTAAACAATCAGAAAACTTCTTATGGATCCGATTCGACTTGCAAATGCCAAGATAAAAATGTTGGAGACAAGTATAAGGAATGAGTTTTCGGACGTCGGTGCAAATGCTGACGTGTTACATCTACAACCAAGACGAGGAAATGTTGGCAGTGAAATTCTATGGTCTTACGGCATGGTAGGGTAAGGGGCCCAGTAAAGGCCAGTTTAAGGGCGAGGCTTTTCAAAAATACCTGCCACGCCTGGCCCAGTAGTCGCCACTCTCCGATTTTAATTGTTTTGGCGGGTTTTTGGGGTCCCAGGAGCACGGCCCGGCCGAACTGAACTAGTAGAGGTAGTGGAAGGCGCGCAATACAGTACTCCTGGGACCCCCCAAAAAACCGTCAAAACAACTGAAATCACTGAGTGACGACTACTGGGCCAGGCACTGGCGCCTACCGCCAGTAGTCGCCACAACCGACAATGAGCACCCCCCCCCCCCCCCCCCGCCGCTCTGCGCTCGGCAGTGCACGCAAAATTTAGTCGAAGTTGAGCTGCTTCCTGTCCAGCACCGTTGAGCGAGTCCGCGCGCCCCGTCCGCGACCCTCCGTGTGCCTAGTCGAGTCGTGCTTCGGCCCTCACCACCACCCATCATCAGCACCTCACCACTTGGATTATCTGTGTTGTGTGTGTTTGTGTAGTGCAACATCAAGCCAGTGATCAAATCTTCCAGTGTTGTGTGTGTGAGAACTTCAAGAGTGTGTATGTGTGTGCGCCCCCGGAGCGCCTTGTTTTCTGGCCAGTACTACTCTGTATCTGCTCTGTGAAAGTGGATGTACTGTAAGTCTCAATTTTTGGATTAGAGAGTAGAAACCTATCTTTCGCTGTTCGAATCCCGCTCAATTCCTTTACTCTGCGACACCCCTGGTGCCAGCCACGAACTTTACCTAATCTTAATTAACATTATTTGCAAGGAGAAATACTTTGACCTTACAACGGCTATGTCCCGTGGGCCACCATGGTAAGGTAGGAGGGCCGCGTGTTCGCCGTTGAGGTAGGCCAGCAGCTGGGCACCTGGAAGGGACACTTTGAGGAGGTACTCAGGGGAGCCAACACCGTGGAGCGCACCTTCCAGGCGCTCCGCAAGATGAAGGCGCTGCAGGCAATGCTCGGCTCTAAGGACGTCGGTAGGGAGGGCAAGATCCGGATCTACGAGGGGGGGAAATGCCCGAAGAGTGGCAAAAGGCCATGCTCATGCCGCTGCCAAAGAAGGGGGACTTGTCGCAGTGCACAAACTACCGGGGCATAGCGCTGCTCTGCACTGCGTACAAGGTGCACTCGTACTTCCTCATGCAGCGGCTTGAGGTCGCCACCGCCGGGAAGATAGGCAACTATCAGTGTGGCTTCCGGCGGAAAAGGTCGACGGTGGACCAAATCTTCCTCCTGAGGGCACTCCTAGAGCACCGATGGGAAGCGGGTAAGGGGCCGTTCACAAATTACGTCACGCAAATTTCGGGCGGTTTTGCCTCCCCCCCTCCCCCACATCACGCGGCTAACCTAACCTTCTAATGCTTTCAGGATAGGACCGTCACGCGGGCAGAGACCCCCTCCCCCCCGTCAGATGCGTGACGTAATTTGTGAACGGCCCCGGACACGTACCTGCTTTTCATAGACTTCAGTAAGGCGTACGACTCCATCCATCGCCCCGCGCTGTACGCCACCTTGCTGAAGATGGGAGTGCCCCAGGAGCTCGTCAACCACATCAAGACGGCTCAAGAAAACACCAAGTGCGCCGTGCAGGTGAACGGGTTGCTGCCGCTGTTCTTCGCGTCGGGCGTAAAGCAGGGGGACCCCATCGCCCCCCTGCTCTTTAACCTGTGCCTGGAGGGCGCGGGGGGGGAGCTCCATCAAGACCAGGAGCATCCGTAACTACTCCAGCAGCCCGCCATCCTCGCTTCTACCGACGACCTCACAGTGGCAGCAGAAACACAAGAAGAACTGGCTGCCTTCTGCGAGCGGATCGTAAGCAACGCGGCGAGCTTCGGCCTCAAGATCTCACCCAAAACCGAGTACATGGTCGTGTCCAGGAGGCCGCAGGACCCGCAGCACGGCAACGAGCTGCGGGTGGGAGAGCATGTCTTCAAGCGTGTGGCCTCCTTCAAGTATCTC